GTGTCCCCTCATATTTATATATTGAAGCTGTCACACCCAATGTGATAATATGAGTACTTGAAGATGGGGGCTTTGGGAGGTAAGAAGGTTGAGAGGTTGAGAAGATGTCCTGAGAGTAGGCTTCATGGTGTGATCATTGCCCTTTATTACAAGAGACACCAAAGAACATTTGTTCTCTCATATTCTTTCTCTCTCTCTTTTTTTTCTCTCTCTCTCTTTTCTTCTTTTTCTCCTCCCCCTCCTCCTTCTTCATCTTTCCCTCTCTCTCTCTCTGCCCCACTGTCTCTTTCTCTCTCTCTCTCTCATCATGTGAGAACAACTAGAAACTGACCATGCTGGCCTGGCATCCTGATCTAGGACTTCAAGCCTCCAGAACTATAAGAGTGTAAACTTTTGTGGTTTAAGCCACTATAGTATTTTTTTATGGAAACCTGAGCCAACTGAAATAGCAGCTTTGGTCTAGGCCAGTTGCTCTCAGGCAAAGGTGATTTGGCAATATCTGAACCCATTTTTGATCATCACAATTTGGCAATGCTACTAGGATCTAGTGGGAAGGAGCAAGGGATGCTGCTAAACGTTCTATAATGCACGGGAGCGGTACCCACAACAAAGAATTGTCTGCTCCAAAACGTCAATAGTAGTGGGGTTGAGAAACTCTGGATTTGGTTACCAGTCAGGGTACCTCCATGGAAAGTTTGTTATTCATCACCATTTGTTATTCATCTTTTAAGTGCAGCATATGAAACACTGTCATAAAAGGAATCGCCTTTCTAAAATAAAGGAGGCTAGATGATTTTTCTCTTTTCACCAACTCTGTAGCAGTTTATTATGATCTCAAAATAGATATCTTGTTCTTATTTCAACAGGATCTTTGTCGTCCTGTGAATTAGGTTGATTATCTAATGTCTCAATAATTGCAGATAACAGGACCTTTAACCCTGAAGCTGTCTTTCAGATACTGCTTGTATAAGTCAGGGTTATCCAGAAACAGAACCAATAGGATGTGTAGATATAAATATAGATGTATAAAAAGTGATTTATTTTAAAGGAATTAGCTCACACAGTTACAGAGGCTGGCAAGTCCAAAATCTGTAGGCTAGGCGAGCAGGCTGGAGATCCAGTCGAGAGCAGTTGCAGTTTAAGTCCAGAGGCCATCAAGCTGCGGAATTCCTTCTTGCTTCTCACTGAGGGGGAGGTACAGTCTTTTGTTCTATTCAGGCCTTTGACTGGCTACCCACATTGTGGAGAGCAATCTGCTTTACTCAAAGCCTACGAATTTTAATGTAACTTTTATCCAAATCACCCTTGCGGAATTATCCAGGATAATGCTTGATTAAATATCTGTCCCTGTGGCCTAGCCAAGTTGACACAAAAAATTAACAATCACAGTGCCTCTTTCCTGGTTGTGTTGTACCCCGTCCTGTGCTCACTCTGAATCTCTTTAAAAGTGTGTAGGAGAGGCAGTGACGCATAAGATGGTGACAGTCTCTACAAAGAACTTACTTTCCAACCGCTGTGGTGGCTTGTGATTTAACCCTTGTAGAGGTAGATGGCAAGTGCCAGTTTGTAGTTGAAAGTCCATTTGGTACCTGATTCCATGTTTTATTTTGCATTTATTTCTGACCTGCCTTTGTTCTCATGCTGGAGAAGACAACAAGGCTCGCCTGTGCTTGGCGAGGGGGGTCTCACGGAGGCCAAAAGGTCCACCTCAGCCTGTAGATAACCCCAAGGACTCTCTGACCCTTGACCTGAGATCCAGTGGACTTCCTTCAGTGAGCAGTGATTTGGGTAGGAGATTTCTAGGAGTGGAAAGCGTAAAAATCACCTTTTACTTGTGCCCTCATGAGTAATAATGTTTCACTTTATTCCCTTACAGAGGTTTGATTTTATTGGCTAAGATGGTGTTAATGTTTTCCTCAACTTGACTGAACTTTAGGAAGGTGTTATCCTCTCTATATTCTTCTGACCTGCCTTTTCTTAGAGCATTCACTTCAGAAAATTTGCAGTTGTAAGTTATTTCTCTGCCACATTGAAGTGTATGCTAAGTAAAATGAGTCAGACACAGAAAGATAAATACAAAACAATTCTTATCTTATGAGAAATCTAAAATAGTCAAGCTCATAAAGTAGAAAGTAGAACGGGGAGGTTGGTGTACCTAACTTTTGTACATGATTTGTATTTGATGTTTTAGATGATGTAATTCCAAATCTTTATCTGAATTAAAAGAAAAATATAGAAAAAATATATCAAGGATAGAAAGGATGATCAAAATGTCAGCTGATTTTCTGGTATCACCCTCTTAGATGGGCTAGTTATGATTCTCAACCTTGGAGAAGTGGCCCTCTGTGGTAGATGTCCTGTGCATCCCAGCAGTACACTCCTCTCTTGTCACCCGAGGGCAGGGTCGAGCTGGTCCCAATGTAGAATTTGGCCTGTGCTTTTGGATTCCTTCCACAGGCTTGGGGCTGTTTTTTTCTTACTTCTGGTATCTGCCCCCTGGTGGATGAGGCTGGGCTAGAGGCTTATGCAGGTTTCCTGGCAGGAGGGGTTGGTGTCTGCCCACTGCTGTATGAAGCTTGGCCTGGACCTCTGGTGGGTAAGGCCCTGCCTAGAGGCGTTTGCAGCTCAGAAAGTGTGCTGATGGGTGAGGCTGTGTTTCCACCCTGTATGTTGTTTGGCCTGAGGGTTCCCAGCCCTTATTAAGCCTACAGGCTGTTGGGTGGGGCTGGGTCTTGGGTGTTATTAATCCAATCAAGTTGTCAGCCTCCAGGGAAGCTCATGTAGATGAACACTCGCAGAATGTCCTTCACCAGCTTCTATGTCCCCTGTGTGAGCTGCAGCAGTCCCCTAACTCCCCAGGAGAACTTCCAAAACCAGCAGGCAGGTCTGGCCCAGGTTCCTATGCAATCACTGTCTCTGCCCCTGGACCTGGTGCACTCAAGATCCCGTGCACGCTTCCCAAGAGAGTTAAGTCTCTGTCTCTCCCAGGCCTGTGGGGCTCCTGAAGTTAAGCCCCACTTGCCTTCAAAACCAGATGTCCTGGGGTCTCCTCCTCCCTACTGCTGGAACCCTGGTCTGGGGAGCCTGACGTGGGGCTCAGAACTCTCACTCCTGTGGGAGCGCCTCTGTGACTTAATTGTTCTTCAGCTTTTAGGTTGCCCACCCAGAGGGCATGGGGCCCGACTATATTGTGAGCCCACCCCTCCTACCTTCCTGTTGTGGTTCTGTCTCAATGTTTCCAGTTGAAGCAGATACTTTTTGCTAGACTCCAGTCTATTTTCTCGATGGCTGTTCAGAAGTCGGTTGTGGTTTTGTTGTAGTTGCAAGGAGAGGTGAGTTCTTGGGCCTACTACTCTGCCATCTTGATTCAATCTCTAGTATCACCCTCTTAGAGACAGGGCTTAGTTCCATGGTCAAATGGCCCTACAGCTCTCTTACTTTACTTATAAGGTATGGAATAAGACATCTAAGGGAAGACTTATATGTCTAATATATAACGTATGTGAGCCCATTCCAAGCAATTGAAGTTTTTTAAATGGCTGTAATATGACCCTTATGAATTAGTACCCAAGTCATCGCTCTTATCCCCTGGAATTCTCTAAAACTAAATGTATTGCTTTTCTATTCTTGTCAAACGTTTTTGTCAAAAGTTATACACTTCAAGAGCTTATCTCCTTCAGTTTATTTTAAATGTGGTGAAAAAAAATCAGTGGTTTCCGAGTTAGTTGTCTGTTAGAATCAGCTAAGGAGATTTTAAAAATGCTGACTTGGGGGCTTCTTTGTAACTGTGGACAGTAGCAGCTGCAGAGCTACCCAATTCCCTACATTTTCTTCCCAAATTGCAAAAAACATTTCATGTGTGTTCAAACATTCACAATTACATAGCAAATTTTTCTGGTTGGATATATGTTCTAAACAACTGTGTTCCTTAGAACAACACACACACACACACACACACACACTACAAGAGTAGGAACATTTTTTAATGGTTACTCAAATTCCCATTTTATGAGAAAAAAAATTGTTGGTTATATATAGAAAGAGAGTTCACTTCCTTTCAGTCCTTTGTGTTCTTGAGGTGTGGTATTTGTATAGTGGTCTGAAATTTTAAGTGTACAATACAGCGAGCTCGACAAGTAGTGCCCATGTAACACAAACTGTTAATGAAGATAGAGCGTTTTCATTACCGCACACACACACACAAATCCCTTACCCCTGAGGCTGCTGTTGTTCTGGATTTTTTTTCACCATGGATTAGATTTGCCTGTTCCAGAACTTCATAAAAATGGAATCATACAATATATACTCTTTTTTGTTTGTCTGCTTTTGCTCAGCATAAATTTGATATTCATCTATATTATGTCATATAACACTAATCCTTCCCTTTTTATTTTTGGATACTATTCTATTTTTAGAATATAACTCAATTTTTAGTATCCATTCTCCTTTTGATGAGCATTTGAGTTATATCCATCTTGGGGCTATTATGAACAGCCTCAATAGACATTCAGATGTAAGTTTGTTTGTTTGTCTTTATGGACAATTTTTATTTTTCTTGAGTGTGGAGTTTTTGGGTCATATTATAAGTGTATATTTAAGATGACAAGAAACTGCTAAACATCTTGCCAAAGTGGTTTTACTGTTTTTATATTCTTGTCATCATTATATCAGAGTTCCAACTGCTGCACATTTTTGCCAAAATATCTAACTGGCAGTCATTTTAAATTTAGTGTTTCTTTCTGGTGTGTACTGGTATCACACTGTGGTTTAATTAGCATTTCCCTGATAACTAAAGATATTATGCATCTTTATGTGTTTCTTAACTATTCATGTGTCTTCTTTTGAAATGTCTATTTAATTCTTTCCCATTTTAATTTTTTTTTATTATTGTTGTAGGAGTACTTTGTATATTTGTGATTCAAGTTCTTTGTCAGGTATATTTTTTCTAAATGTTTTCCTCCCAAGTGATTTACACATTTATGTTCTTATTTTTTCTCTAGGTCGTGTTAAAAGTTCAGACTTACTCAGAATCATATAACAGAACTCTACTTGAACTCTCTGAAGCAAAAGAAGGTGAGTTTGGGGAATTTACTGTAGAAATATAACAATATATTACAAACTAAAAAAAAGAGAGATACTATCAGGCCTCAGGAAAGAACTAGAACAATAGACTGTATGCCAAATGGTTAACTGTTTCCTGTTTCTGTCATCACATCTCTTTGACTAATTCTCTTTTTCTGCCTCCTTCTTCTGTTTATAAGAATCATTGTGATTACCTTGGGCATATCGACATATTCTAGGGTAACGTTTTTGACTTAAAGTTAGTTGGTTACACCCTTAATTCTACCTGCAAACCCGATTCCCTTTTGCTGTATAACATAACATGTTCATTCACGTGTTCCAGGAATTAAGATATGGGCATCTTTGTGAGAGTCATTCTGCATACCACAAATGAATTTCTCTTCTCTAAGACGAGAGTGCTAATAATTAAATGTCTCAAATTGTCTCAAGTATGTAGTTGATTATAGTAATATCTATATTCAGTCTTAACGAATTTTCATACTGCCTTTAAACCAGGAGGAGGAATTGAGTAAAGGCAGATTTATATAGAGAGATAAATACTGCATAGTGTGTAGGCTGATTCAAAAGGTAAGAGGAAAGGCCACGAGGTGTGAGGGTTGGGTGCTCAGATTAGAGTAAAAGTAGGTACATACTCCACAGACAGTGTTGGCCATCTCCAAAGAGGAGGGAGAGAGAAAGGTGGCCAAATTATTTTTAAAAGATGGCATAGATAATAACTGCCCAAAGGAGGCAGGATTTGAGCCCAAGTTAGGTTAACTCTTGTGTTCACAGTCTAGTAATTATATTAGACTCTTCTACAGCAAGATAGTTCAGATTCATTTGGTTCATTTTATGAAGTACTTGAGAAATTAAAATTGCAGAAAGTATTTAAATAAAATGAAACTAGAAGTAGTGGTATAAGACATATGTGGGGGGGCATAAATTGGCTGTACTGTGACTGAGGTACACCTCTTTGGGAAGCGCTAGTCTATGCAGTGGGGAAATACGGCTGCTACTGTTGCATCTGGACTCTGGCAAGGTCTTCTACCCTTGAAATTTCTCCTATAAGAAGCAAAGCCTGTGAAGATAGAGAAAGTTGAAAATGTAAATCACCTGGGAGGGAGAAAATGTCCATGTTCTAGAATAGAAATGCCTTCTTCCAAAGCTCTTCTGACAGCTACTGTGGAAAGCCTCAGGTGGGACTCAGGGTCCTGTTTAGGAGCTGGAAGGGAATCCCTTGCAGGGAATACAAAGGTGAGGAAAGGTAAGGTCATCAAAACTCAAGGAAAATGTCACAGTTTTACATTTTTTGTTGTTGTTGTCCTTATATATCTGTTTTTTCTAATGGATCATTTAAAATCTTGTGCCTTTTAAAAATGGTAAAAGAGGAAGTGTGCCTTTTATTTAGCATGGATATAAAATATTTGATATTGTTTATTCAATGTAAAACAGTTTTCAAATTCGTCAAGCTGTATGAACCGTATCTATTGAAACCTTTTACATTAATTTCCTTCCATGGGCCCCTTCATCCTCCAGCCTAGAAATAAACAGCCTTATCTCCTAGTTCCTTAACATTTTGCCAGAATATACTACATTTGTCTTCATATATTGATCATCTGTTGAAAATAATGGGAACATCCCAATGGTTTTCCCTTCAAGGGTGTGAGAAAAAATAGCTGTAATTTTTCTTAATTGATTACTTGGAGCGATGATACTAATTCACTGAAAATGGCACTTGCTGCTTCAAAATGATGTCATTAATGGGAAAGGAGCTGCCCCGGCCCCCTCCACCGTGTTCCCCATCACTGTCATCACCACCAAATACAGCCCTTTGTCCCAAGTGCCCTGCGTCTCTCCTATGCCCACTCTGGCGCCAACACAACATTCTGAGCCTACTTTCTTGAGTTCATTCTCAGTAAGTCTTCAGACTAAAAAATTATATTATGAGTCCAGGTATGATGTTGGTTTCGTAAAATAGTTGTGCTTTAACCATAACTTTGAAAGCAGCTTTTAAAAAGGTGGCAATTATCGAATTATTGAAAATGTATGCATTCCTACAAAATTATATTTAAGTAAGTTTATTTCAGATCTTTGTTTTAGAAATTCTGTGTTATATATACAGAGATATCCAAGTCCTAAAATTTCATCACAGGACAAATGAATGTTCCATTAATGATTTGGAAATCTTACACTTTTATAAAGTCATAAAGATAAAATTTCTCTGACCTATGCCCCATGATATAAAAATCGAGCAATAATTTAGAAGATAATACTCTTTGATTCTTAATCAAAAATTTCCTCCTTGTGGAGCAAGAATGTAAAAGCAATTATGAAATCTAGTTTTCAACAGTCCACTGTTATTTCATCTAGACTTGTATTTATTATAGGTAATTTTCATATGATGCATATATCTTAGCTCCATCTTTAAATCTGTACAACTCAAGATATCCCTTTATATTGACACTACAGGATCATATATCTTTTATTCACATTTTCTTAAGCTTCTTAATTACCGTGTATTCACTGTAATGTAAAGAAGTTTTCCGATCTTAAGCTTTTAGGAAAAAAATATGACATACAGAAGATATATTCACTTTATTGTAGTTACTCATCACTACCATATGTGGCTTCTGGGGTCACTTTGGTAGTTCATGATGCATTTTTCCACATCATTTTATATTATGAGGAAGAACGTGCACAGATGTGCATCCACTCCAAAAAGTAATTCATAATCCACAGATTATAAGAGTAGGCTGAATTGAAATTAAAATTTCTTATAGAATACAGATGCAGATTTCTTATTTAGAGATGTCTAGGTAAAATAAAATATATCAGCAAAAGTATGATTATTCCACATCTCTTTTCTAGAGGCAACTGTTGATACTTTTTCTAATTATCTGTCTCCTTGTCTAGTTTTTTTTAAATTTAAATCTTCAAACATCCCATTATTTAGCTTTTAAATAAGGTCTCCTCTGCTACTGAGTCAGCTTTGCCTCCTTCAAAATTCAATCTGATTAGTTTGCCTGTTTTTATTTTGAGATCATATTAGGAGCTTTAAACTGAGTTTTAACCTTATTCTGAATCTTTATTCTGAATTATTCTGAGCTCACTTTGAGACTTTGAGTAAGGAAATTTTCACAGGATAATTCTGGAAATAGTGTTGCTGAGTGTGATGTTAATATTCTAGAATATAAATTAGACTTTGGGGACTCTTGAATGTTTGGTAATTTGAATTTGCATTTTTCTTTCACAGAGATGGATAACTGCCCCAATATCATAAACCATCTCAGAATCAATAAGTTTATTTCACTGCCAGTCTTTGTACATTTGACATATATTTTGCATCTTATTTAAGATAGGCAGGTTTTTAGTTGTAAGTTGTAATGATCATGTTTGTCTCTGTGATATGTCAGGATTTCCAAAAAATAGAGCTTTGAAATAGACTAATTATCATTTTTTAAAATAAATGTACACAGATTGGAGATAGCCAGTCTTGAGAATTGTACATTCTGGATATAATGACAGGATTTGCCTTCTGCCAAGACAGATAATATTTCACAAACAAGACTAAACATTTCAATAAGTTGATGTTTGAACCTCACTGTTAAATCTTCTGTGACGACAACTGAATTAATATTTTAGTGTCCAAACAGGCAAATGATAATAGTATTCTCTCCTGTTCAAACAGGATTGTATGCTGAATAAAAATATTAGTTAACACTTCTGGATTCTATTGAGAGAATGAAGGCACATCACTGAGAGAGGACAAAGAACTCAAATGGTCACAAGCACAACCTATCTTTTTATTGATTAGCAAGAATTACCCACCAAAGACCATTTGCTTTTTAAATCAGAACAGAGCAGTAGACAAGGTTCTGGAGTAACCTTACTGGGAATCACTGCCTACCAGAGATACAACTTTTCATACAGATTCCATCCCACAGTAGACTGTGCATTTAAATCTGCCCAAGAGCCCCAGAGACAGTGACTCAGTTCCATGACCTGCTAGCTTAAATATTGTCTCACTTGATCTTTACTGGTTTTCCAATTTCAGGCTTATATATTCCTGATTATTAATTCTTTTACTAAGCTGGGAGACTTTTGGAAGAGAAACATAGTAATGAATGTGTATCTTTAAAGTATAAGACACAAAAATTATTAGTACAAACTGTACAGATGAGAAACCCAAGAGTGAGGAAATTCAAAGAACTTGCTCAAAATCACAGATTATGGAAATATGAATTTAAATTCAGTTGTATGTATTATCAAGAAACAGATATTCCTTATATGCCAGCATAGCCAGAAAAACTTGTGTCACAGAAAACCATATCCTGCTCAAATCTTCAGTCTGTGGCATTCATTCACTATACAATTTTATGTGATCACATTTCAGAAACATATGGAAAGGCATTTTAACTTCACATCAATACTCTATGTTTTTCTACAAAGGAAAACAATGCTATGTTACTGAGGGTAATGTAAGATTGTGAATAATAAATAGCTGAAGATAATGGTTTTAGAAGATTGTGAGTTCTTTGAAATCTCTTCTGCAATCCAAGAGTAAGCCTAAATTCCAAGACGACTGAATATAGCTTATTATAGAGCATTCATATTTTAATACAATATTATAAGGTTTTCATGAGTTTTTTATTGTGATTTACTCTTAACATCAATTGACATAAGTGTGCAAAATAGCAAATTTTTATTAATTCAAATGTAAGTTGATGAATGAGTCATTGAACTGTTTCCAAGATTCCACCTTGAAGGCATATCATCCTACAATATACATTCCCATTAGTGGTGATATTAATTATGCTGAGCCAGTTTTATATATATATATGAAAATAACATAATGATTATTTAGTGACTATAGATGAATTTCAATATACAAAACTCTTCTCAAGGGCTTTAGTGGTATTAACATTTTTTGATTTTTGTTCTCATGAACCAGTGTATGTTAGTGCATCTTTGTGAGTGATTCTTGTATTTAGTCCTGTTGAGAACTGACATAA